GTTGTTGAGCAAAACAAAACAAAAAAAAGGATCATGAGAGCGAGAGTTATTAAGCAAAAAACAAACAAACAAACCCCACAGCATTAAAACAGCATGGCCCCTTTAAGTGCGTGCAGAATCAGAATAGGGATAGGAGGAGGGGAGAGGTTGAGCACTAAGACCCAGGGAAGGCATTGCTTCCCCTTGCTTCAGGTCTTTAGGGTTTTTGCCAACGGTCATCTTGCTTGGTTGAGCCAGAAGGCAGCTTCCCTGTGGAACCAGATAAGCATGGGAATTGGAGGCTGGGCCCAGTTGCTGAGTGTGTCGTAGGGTTGCCAGGTGTCTGGTATTTTCACCTCCAAGCAAGGGAAAAAATTAAAAAATACCGGACATTTTAGGTGTCCGGTATTTTCCTGTATTTTTTACCGGACAGGGGGGGGGGGGGATTGGGGCCAGTGGCCAAGTGTGTCATAGGGTTGCCAGGTGTCTGGTACTTTTGCCTCCTGGCAGGGGGAAAAACCCAGAAAATACCGGACATTTTAGGTGTCCAGTATTTTCTGAATTTTTTTATCAGACAGGAAACAAAAATACTGGACTGTCTAGGTCAGTACCAGACACCTGGCAACCCTAGTACTGAAGAGTTCAACCAAACAACAAAATAAAGAAAATCACCTGATTGCATCTAAACACACATTCACTATCTACTCATGTATCCATATTTCCAAGGTCCAGTCCAATTCTAGGCCCAAGTATTCCTTTTTTTAGGCATGCTATCCCTGTCCGGATCAATTCATCATTTCCCACCAGCTCCTGGTTTAAACTCGCCCAAAGGAAACCAGCAGGCACGTTCCCTTTCATTTCAAATCTCAACACTTTCTTCCCATTAGTTCTCCTGGCTCCCTGCCAAAACTTTCTAGCTACCTGGGTTTCACCTGTTAGTTACTGAGCGCTGGGGTGTTTAGAAAAGGACAGCACTCCTCCTGTCCGTCACAGAGGATAAGACTTAAGCGTTCTGATATTTCCAAAGCAAATAGAAATTGAAAAAATGCAACATCCATAAACCCCAACTCCCTTTCAGGGGTTCTACATTGTAAAGAAGCAAAATGGGCCTGAACCCAAATTCTTTTCTCCCTTGCAGATTACCCTTCCAAGAGAGCGAATTACAGGGTCTTTTCAAAAACTTCTTTGTCTTCTGTGCTAGTTCCATGGGGCCAACCATGCAGTTTTTACTCGGACCCCTTTGAATGGAAGCTCTGTCTGAGTAAGGACGGCAGGGTGGTGCCTGTAGGGAGAAAGCACGAAAGGAAAGAGAAATGTGCTATATTTCAGTTCTGTTTTGCATGTGTCTTTCATACCGACTGTCTTTCCAGGTGCCCTGCCAGCTACAGTGCTAAATAGAAATGCCAGGCGGAGAGCAATTAAAAGGGGCTGTCGCTGGAGAGGAAGTATGTGTCCAGCCATGAGCTGGTGAGGCTGTTCTAATCCTCCCATGGATGCTGCCGCACGAGCCGTGCAGCACTTAGATGTCAGCCTTGTTGGCAGGGGCGGGGCAGGCTGGGCAGAGCGCTGTACGTGGAGGAGAGATCAAGTGGCACCGGAGAAAGGGAGGCCGAGCAGATGGAAGAGACCCGAAAAGGCAGGCAGGGCTGTGGCCACAGTCTGTTTACATTGGCAGGAGAGATGATGAATGTGCTGGTGTGTACAGTGTGTTAGCACCCTGGGCACGTGGGTAGCCCATTGTTTTGTGTCCTCCCCCACCCCCCACTTATTGGCATTCTGTTGGGAACAGCAGACTCCCTGAATGGTGCAAGGAAGTGACTGAGGTCGTGTCCGTTTCCCTGCGCCCACGGTGCGGCTTTGGAGAGATCCCCTTTGGGATGCAGCTAGTGCCGTCCTGCGAGCTCTTTCTGACTGTGCCAGCCCAGCTCTTTGATGTCTAGGGGGAGTTGTGGCCCTCGGGGATGCCAGCAGCTTAGTATGGTGGCTGTAGTTTAAATAACCCCCAAAGGGGAATATTGGCACTCAGCTGAGAGTCTCGGATTGTCCCTGCAGTAGGGAGACTGAGCTCCAAGTTCGGCTTTGCTACAGCATGTGGCTAACAGTGACATCTGCCTGAAGGAGCCCTCAGAGACCGGGTGTCAGACAGACGGCCGCAGGCTGTGTCCGGTCTGCTTAATGTGCTGTCCTGCTGTCACCATCCCGGGTTCCTCCCCACGTCCAATGCCTGCCCCGTCCTGCCCACGCTTTCCCCAGGAGGTTAATAGAGGTTTGTGCAAAACCAGTCTTTTAACTCATTCCTTAGCTCCCGGCTTGAGGCCCACCCCTCCCGGGGGGTCTGGCGCCGCCTGCCCCAGGCTCCCAGCTCGTCAGTTCTTCTCCCTGCCTGTCGCTGCCTTCCCAGGGCCGTGGCTCAGTCCGTCTGCCCCTCTGACAGCCCACGAGCAGCCCTTTCTGGGGGGAGCTCGGCTCTCCTGACTTGGCTGGACTGGATTCACTTGCTCTGATCCATGTGTGGGTGCTGGTCCAGCCTCTGCGGTGAGAGCTGCAGGACACGCGCAGGCGGGACAGAACCCTTTCCTTCTCAGAAACCAGTGTCTAGCCCTCACGGCTGCAAATAAAACCAGATCTGATCCATGCAGAGAGATTTCACAGCATGTGCCGATGGGCTGGAATAATGACCAAGTTGGGGACACCCCCCACCCCAATATGTCCACTCCAAGGGGGCTGCCTCTGACAGCAAGGCAGGGCTGGGGATTGCTC